TCTATCGCCCGAGCAGAGAAAGCCCCATCATCAGATCCTTTTCCAAACTGATGGGCAGGGGAGGCCAAACGAACAGCTGCGATGTATTTTAAGGTCATGTTACATTAATAGTGTGAATGATAACAGAGTCCTCCCCCCTCCCCGCAAGTCTTCTGTTCCCCTCCAGCCCTCCATTCCAAGACAGATGGGAAAGCTTCCTTCTGCAAAGCAAATTGAATACTTTTGACCTTTCCCGAGTTCTCAGCTCATGAGAAAACGGCCCTTGGGAAAACGCAACTCCGGGGCTGGGCTCACTCGGGCCAGGATTTACAGGCGAGGCCTTGGGGACGGGACACCAAAGGCAGGGAAACCAAAACAAACTCTTGGCTTCGGAGGGCAAGGGGAGAGAGAGGATTCATTACACACACACACCCCACTCACCTCCCCCCACCCCCAGTCAGCCCTCCCGGACGTGTCTGTCACGATGATGTAGAGCTAAAGTCATGGGCCGCCCGGGAGGAAAGAGGGAAAGTTTGAGCCTTACAACAAAGGTTAGAATGATTTGTGCAGAGTTTGGTTCTGCTTGGAAGATTTGCATTCTGTCTCTCTTCCAAGGGGATTAATCACGATCTCTCTCTCTGTCTCTCTCTCTGCTTCTCTCTCTCTGTCTCTCTCTCTGCCTCTTTCATTCTTTCTGTCTGTCTCTCTCTTTCTATCTCTCTTTCTTTCATTCTGTCTCTGCCTCTCTCTTTCATTCTGTCTGTTTGTCTCTCTTTCTTTCAGTCCCTCTCTCTCTCTCCCCCTCCCCCCCTCTTTCTGTCTCTCTTTTGTTCTCTCTCTTGTCTCTCTCTCTCTGCCTCTTTCATTCTTTTTCTCTGTCTCTGTCTGTATGTCTCTCTTTTTGTCTTTCTCTCTTTCGTTCTCTCTTTTTCTCTGCCTCCCTCTTTCATTCTCTCTCTCTCTCTCTTTCTGTGTCTGTCTGTCTTTCTTTCTGTCCCTCTGTCTGTCTGTCTCTCTCCCTCCCCCTCTCTTTCTGTCTCTCTCTTTTGTTCTCTCTCGTCTCTCTCTCGCTGCCTCTTTCATTCTCTTTCTTTGTCTCTTTCTTCATCTGTCTGTCTTTCTTTCTTTCTCTCTTTCATTCTCTTTCTCTGCCTCCCTCTTTCATTCTTTCTTTCTCTCTCTCTTTGTCTGTCTCTTTCTTTCTGTCCCCCCTCTTTCTCTTTCTCTCTGCATGTCTGTCTCTGTCTCCCTCTCCTTTTTTCTCTTTCTTAGTCTGCCTCTCTCTTTTGCTCTATCCCTCTCTCTCCCTCCCTCCCTCTCTCTCCCTCTCTCTCTTGTGCTCTCTCTCTGTCTCTTTATCTGTGTCTCTCTCAGTCCCTTCTCTTGCACCGAGAGTTAGAGATAATGTAAGTGCAGCCAAATATAGCAAAAAAAAATATAGCAAAAAAAAAAAAAAAAAAAAAAAAGGATGGGGACTCCCAAGGGAAAAAGATTCATGGGCAGTTGGGAGAGCTGTGGGGGGCAATGTATCTTCCCCACAAGTTTGAGGGGGGGGGGGGGGAGGAAGCATTCATTGATTGAGTTCACACATTTGGCTTAGTAGTAGGTTGTTTCCATCCCAGAAAACGCCTGTCTGCGCAGTCACTAAGAACCAAAGCTGAAACGTGTTGGCATAAAAAAAATCAATCCTGATCAACTGGGTTGTTTGGGGGACAAGCCACCGTCTGTTTGTTTTAAGCCCTGATTTATTTACTGTGGTGCGTCTCCACCATAAACCATGGTATGCAGAACGTTACATAGCCACATGTGTGAAACCAGCCATCCCTTGCCTTGGTTTTAACGGCCGGTTGCAATCCTACACGGCTTCTACAGGATTTCAGTTGAGTGAGAATTTCTTTTGGCAGCCATTGGAATGCATCAAAAGTGGACCTTCAGTCCTTTCTTCTTTCATCTCTTTTTTCCTTAACTTTATGTTTTTTCATCTACTTTCATTCATGCACTTTTTAAAGTACAATAGAAAATCAATCAATCAATCAATCCATCCATCCATCCATTTATATCTATCTATCTATCTATCTATCTATCTATCTATCTATCTATC